ATTTACATTTTTAAAGTAAAATTCATAATTGCACCACCCTTTCAATATTCCAACTTTAGCCCCAGGAGTGGAATATAAACAGTGCCAGACATGCATTCCCATGGGTTTTTTATCGTTGTTTTCGGCACAATCTATTTTTATTCAATTCTATGGGAAATGCACACACTTTGTGCAGTTGCCAGAATGTGATTTCCCAATGCCCCCTATTTATTTCCAAGTGTATTTTTTCAGTTTCAAGTACTTTTGCAACAGCACTTTTTGATGTTTTATCGTGTAAGTAATCCTTGCTCATACTGAACCCATTTGCTGAGGACAACAGTTACGTATGTGGAGCTGAAAGGGTGGCCATGTAAGTTAGTGAAAGTCTCCCACACTGGCAGTAACAGTCAGTTCTTCTTTCTTTTTCAGGGTCTGCCATTATTCACGCTCATTCCACCTATAGGCTGCGTGCACATAGCTGTATCTGGAGCCAATGGGGCAGAATCTTTGCTTTGTTCAGATTCTGCTGAGTGCAACAGAGTCCAGTCGTTGCTGGGGAGATGGTGATGTTCTGCTGAAATCCCTCTCTCTGGGCCTACATTGCAGGACAATTTGGAGGCTGCCCAAGTTCATAGCAGATTAATCCGTAGGAACCATCCATGAGCTGGGGCTAGCCAGAACACATCAGGCTTCAGACTGATTTACAACATAACAGTTGCATAAGGAGCTGAGGAGAAGGTCAAGCTGATAATGCATCTGTTGTACAAGAGAGCCGATTTAGCTGTGGAACCTGCCCCAGAAGGACAACTTACCTAAATAAGGACAGGACATGGTCCTTAGTTGACATATCCACTCAAATTGGCGTGGTGTTTTTCAGGTCAGCATCATTTCCTGCCCTAAGATAATTGTCACTTAACAAACTTTTTTCTCTCATTTACTTTAAGGGTTTATCTGTATGTTAAAATCAATCTGACAATGTCCTTGCACCCATACAAACCATCCTGTTATATCATTACCATAAGGCCTTGTCAAGGTCTCTTGTGTTCAGACACAAGTTGCAGTTCCAGCACAGTGCTTTACAAAGTGCCCTAGACATGCCCAGTCTGCATATAAACAGGGCACCACTGGAGAAGACCTCTTCCAAACTCCCTTGCAGCGTGCTGTGTAAGACATTTTAATACTTGCCCCAACCCCAACTCATTTGCGGTAGGTACACCACAGAACCTGTACCATGACATCCCGCATAAATGCCCTTCCCTTATTTCATAGCATTATCCAGCAAAGCCTTCAAACAAATAGAGAAAGGAAGAAATGTGGTCTTGAGGCCAGATATTTAGGTCAATAGTCCTTCCTACTTCTTCTGTCTGCCTTGATTTATACCCAGTAGCTCAAATGTGAGCTTGTTCCTGGAGGTGTGGCCTGAATGCTTGCGGAGAGGATTATACCCTTCCCCTCATAACACATATAGCAAGGGCACTCCCCTTGCCCTGTGGATTTCTCCATCGTCCTTCTGCCATCTAGATGATGGCACAGCTTCCTTGTGCCATAGGGACTTGGACTAGAAGCAGATGCGTTTGGTAGCAGCTGGCAAGGCACATGGACTACCAAGATGTGGGAAGGTAAGAAGGTTCTTCTTGGGTTAATGACTACATCTCAAAACTGTGGTCCATTGCTGTGGCAATGAGTCAGGAAGCAAGACTGCAAGGTTGCAAGTCATACATGCTTTTTCCTTAGCAAGTCTCCTCAACTGATACCATTGTCCAGGCCTTTTAACTCACACAGGCACTAGGCAAAAAGTAGACCACTCAAGGGCTCATAATCTTCCAAAATCATACAACTCATGAAGGAAAGAGGAGAAATATTTTGAAATCTGGCACCTATGGGGAGCTGGATCTCCATGAAGCGGCATGGAAACTGACAATGACAAGAGGAGCCTCCCAGGCCAGATTCTTCCACAGAATTCATTGCAGCAAAAGTACCTTTCCCTAAAAAGCCAAGAACTCCCACCAAGGAAAGGTACACTGCTGTCCTTCCAGTCAGCCTTCAAAATAACTGTTTTCAAAGATGGTCTACCAAGTCAAAATCTACATTAGGCATGCAGTGCAGAATGCTTCCTTCCTTCCAAAACAAAAACAAAAGGAAAGGAAACAAAAGGAAAAAATCAGTATAATCAAGAGCTGCAAGGGCTGTAGGCTCGCCCCTGGTAACATCTCTGGCCTGTCAGACGTTACTAAGTTTGGGGCTCTGAACACCTCAAAGGATGGTGCCTATTAAGAGACCTGGCTCTGAGAATAAGACAAGGCTTTTTTCACACAGTTTGTGTAGACTGTCATGAGCCATTGGCTAAGGCATCCTAGGACCTCTAAGCTCAAATGGGTCTGTGCAGACAGCACAGCTTCCAAAGCCCGTATGGATCTGCATGCTTCTCAAAATCATATCCCCTCCTTCTCCTGAGTGCATGAGTTTGAAAGATCCAAATCTCTCCTGGTAGCCCCACTCTAAAGGGTCCTAGGACAGGCCACTGGGGTGGAAACACTAGCAGAGACTTCAAAACATAGCCTGTCTCCCTTTTCTGTAAGAGAGAAAGGGGAGTGAAATTGCCCCAGAACAGTCACTTTGAAAGGTAAGAATCACTCATGGAGCATCTCTCTGTCTTTGGTGGTCTGCAATAACTAGATGCTTGTTTTGATGTTC